AAAACAGTAAAAATTATAATAGTACCTGAATTGTTAGTCCTGGATGAATCCAGCGATTCATTTTGAAAATTTGATGAAGGAGATATTTGTTTATTAATATTATAACAGCCTTTTTCTAATATTATTTCATTAATCTCATTTTTAATATTTATAAATATCTTACAGATAGTAGGGCTAGAATTAGAATTACATGCAACAATGTGCTGCATACATGTATCAATGCGCCCTTTTGCATAATCGCAATATATTTGTTTTTCAGAAGAATCAAATAAAAATTTTTTTATATTATTAAGTTCTGTATTCAACTTACATATATCGATGAGTATTTCCCATTGTTGTCCGTTTATATCATCTGGTAGAGTTGGTTTTCCAGTTCGCTGGGCAAAACTAGTTTGATTATATCTTGTTATTAATTTCTTATAAAGTGTATTAAGATCTTCTTCTACTATATCATCATTTTTGTAATACCTATATAGCCAATAATACATATATTGTAATCCTTCTCTTCTTTCCTTTTCACCTTTAAATTGTATTTGAAGTAAATATGGAAACCAATTAAGGCATATACGTTTTATATACTTTAAATGATGATCATCTTCTTTGCCCATTTCCTGGATATGTTTGCATTCGTTACTATATATATTACGAGTATCATCAACATTATCCATAATGTGTTTATATAAGGAAAAGTATGAATCTAATGTTCCAAACTAAAAGTGAGGGAAATTTAATAGTACTATAAAAATTATATTCTACAGAAAAACATTTTAAAATATTTATACAATAAGAGATTCTTATATATTATACTATAATCTACATTATTATAATGAAAACATACAATATTTCCTCCCATCTTAGCTAATATTATAGTCTTCTAGAAATGCATAAGAAATGAAAAGTATATGAACAAGTAAATGTCAATTCATGTATATAAAAAATTACATGTGAGATGTTATCTTGTTTCACATTAATAAATTATAGAAAATAATGAATTAATGACATTAAATTGATTATAAAATTTACATGAGATAGGACAAATTAATAGTTTTTTTAAAAAATAATTTACCTTTTTTACATTTTAATTAAAAATATAAATATGACATTTAGAAAGAATATATATAAATTTCAGATAATTTATGGTCTAAATAAATATTATTCAATGTGAAAATAATAAACTCTTATTCATATAAAAATATAAAAAATAATTATAATACGTATATAAGTTTTTGTCTAAAATATACATATATGTATTCACGCTCCTAGAGCTCCTTATAATAATGTAAATAATTTAGAATGAAGATTACAAAATATGTAAATAAATAAGGCTTAATATTTGAAATTAGTAATTTTGCGATTTTTACCTAAAAAATTATTAACATATAAATAAACGCATTACCAAAATTATGATTTATATATACAAATGTATATATGTTTATATTCAATTTATACATTATATGAATATTTATTGTATAATATACTTTAATTTTAAAGCAAAAACGATCTCTTTTTTCCTCACATTATTATATACAATATAATATACACCATCATTTTGTGTAGAGTACGCGCATGCTATTGCCAAATTTAAATTATTTTATTATCTATTCTTTCAAAAACTAAATGATATAATAATATAATAACAAACTATATCAGAAAATATAAAATTTATAGTTTAATAATTACATTTACCATTTATATTTAAGTTAATGACAAATTACATTTTACAAGAGATATTATATTCTTCTCTATTCACTTTTTTTGGAATTTCAGTTATGATCAAATTACTTTTCCTCAGAATTACAAGTGAAAGATTTAGGATTTGAATTGTAATTATACATAATATATTATATATCATAAATGAAAATAATAATTTGAAATATATTATGTCCATTGGGGGGGTATTATTATATGTATAATAACAATAAACACTTTTTTTTTTATTTTGTTCCTTATTGAACATTTCATATAGAAAGAGCCTTATTCATCTGCGCACTAATTATATGTTTCACATTATAAAAATATTAATTTATAGAATAATAATTTTGTACTAATATACATTATTAATGAATAAATTTTGTATACATGCATTGTAAAAATATATAAATAAATTTATATAATTTATAACTTTAGAAATAAATGATTTAATAAGATACAAAAAAAATTCCGCATTTTACTTAATATGGGTAATAAATAAAGAAAAATATGAAAATTGTTATACCTGTTTATTTAAAAAAATATTAAATGCAATATTATTTCATTTAAAGAAAAATATATTTATATATTCATCTGTGATATAAAATAGAAAAATGTATTAAATATTATAATTTAAAATGATAACAATTGTAGCCTATTTTTTATATATTCATTACTCTTAGGTTCTTTGTATTCAGTACTTATATTTTTTTATTTTGTATATGAAGCAGCATGTATGACTTTATGTTTTTTAAAATATATCTCAATACGGTAAAATATTTACATAAAACATCTAATTTATTATTTTCAACGTAAAAAGTGCATATGTATTATACATTATATTTTTAATTGTCCACATATATAAGTCTTATTACTTATATAATATTTTCTAATATTCATGAATGATGGAAATATTTTTATTAAATCTAGGTTTTAATGTAATATTAATATATATATTGACATTTTTTAAGCTTCTAACGCATTCTTATTGTACGAGATTAAATTAAAATTTAAAAAATATATAAATAATTATATATGTAACAATATTATCATTTGCAACATTCTGTTCTAAATAACATTAAATGTATAAATAACAATATTCTATAAGTATTTTCATTATAAAGTATTTTTTCATAGTTATATTAATAATATACTATTAATGAATAACTAAATAACACTTTTCATAAAAATTAATATAATAGTGTCATTATAATTCAACTACTATTTAATTTATATACTTTTATCATATGAAAAATGTGATGTATTAATTAAAATTAAAATTCCTATATATACATTCCAATAGGTCTATTAAAGTAATTTATATATAAGATTCTAAGTTAACAAAGTATAATTCTGTCTTATTTTCTCTTGTACTATTTAAAACATGCCTATTTTCAATATATTACAGCTACATTAGAATACATATGACTTTTAGACATAATGATATTCCTCATACAAATTTGGTATATTACAGTAGAATTATGAACAAAATTTAATTTATGTTTTAATGTGTTTGATTACTTTATTTTTCAAAAATATAATATCACTATATATATAATTTTTTTTTTTTTTATTATACATATAATTAAATTCTATACATTTTTTTATATAAGATATAAAATATTAATTCTTATAAATAACGTTTTATAAATATCAATAATCTAGAAAACGTGAATGTATCTGTTACACATATTTAATTACAACATTTAATACGTAACAACGCATATATATAAATTGTCAATTTTTTCTATTTTTTAGTAATCACAATAATTATATAATAAATATTAGCAATAGTATATACTTCTTTATTCATTATATACTTTAATATATGAAAATGTTTTTTCCTTTGTTTTGTTTTATTATCTCTAGCTTAATATACTTTTGATCATATTATTATTTTTTCCTTGTGAATTTTACAAAATAGGCAATCCTCGTGTATTATTGTACCACATATAACGAACAATGATGTATTTTTTTTTTCATTTTACCTTTATTAAAAATGGTCTACTGATTTATATGGTACTTGAGATCTCTTTTTATATTGATTCTCTATGTACACAATTAGAATAATATATTAATTTGAAATTATCTTTATTTCAAATTGTTGCACTGTCACTATATCCACTTGATTAGTGTTATAAATATTAACCATATCGAGCATACTTATAATAAACAAGCAATATATTATTACCATAAATAAGTTATTTTTTATATTTAAATATTCATATAAAATTTTAATATAAATTTACAAAGAGCAATATAAATTATTAACTTATTCTATTATGAATGCTTTTCAAAACAAAATGAGGTATTGATATTACAAAAACTATTAAAAATTAGTTAAAGAATCCATGTGCACATTTATACCATAATACTAATATAGGTATTTTGAAACACATTTACATATTTTTCAATGTTTCTTGAGTTTGTTATATTAACCCCGAAATTTTTTTTAATAATTCACATGAACATTCATCATAAATTATATACTATATATCTAAAATATCCCTATATTTTGTAAAACATTCAATATCAGAAGAATACTGAGGACTCTTTTTTTCTTATTTATCAAAAATTTATACATTATATTCAGTTTCCTCAATATCTAAGAGAATCTATATTAAGAAGATGATATTCGCACAGTTAAGACACATAATATTTTGAATATATGATTCATCTATACTTATTATTTGTGGTAACAAAAGTTTATCACATAAAAAATAATTTAAAAAAATTTTTTTTTGCTTTTCCACATGCGTCTGAAACATTTAGATGTTCCTCTTATTTGATTTTCTTCTGGTATATGATTCTTATATCCTGAATAGTTACTATGCAACATACAACTAAGAAAAATTAAAAATCGTTATACTTAAGTTATAATATATCAGTTATATAATTTTAGTAAAAATTTTAAAAATTATTGTGAAAATAAGATTTATACTATATCTTATGTACAATCCTATTAAAATCACATATATATTGGGGGAAAATTCATTTAAAATGAGATAAAAAATGAAAATCTTATTTTTCACAATAATTTTTAATAACTTTGTATTGTAAACACTCAATTATTTGTTTTAACAAATAACAGCATGTTGTGCTTAGCAACATATATTGCAATTTTTATTACAAGTAGAAAAAAGTCATTAATCTCATCATTATGCTGTTTCTCATTCTGTTTTACATATATGGATTTATAAAAAGAGGTTTTTATTACTTTTTAATAAATTTTTTACTCCTTAAAAATATCATTAGAAATAATATATTTATATCATGTATATATATTAATTGTTATAATTATTTTGAATTTATACATTATATTTTAATTCTGTTATTCACATATTTTAATATATGGTAACATAGTTCTTTCTCGTTAAGACCAATGTTTTTTAATAAAAATGGATAATATGTAAGATATATTAATAGTTCTAGAATTATAATAAAACGTTAAATAATAAATTATGCGATTTTAATATAATTAAAAGAATAACATTCATAGGAGAAAATAGTTATTCGTTGTCGTGCTTAAATGCAGTAAGACAAAAAATCTTAAATATATTGTTCTATAACTTTTACTTTTATAGCGTCTAATTACAATTAAAAAATGGATATTAAAGAATATACTTATAAAATAATTAATTTTATCTTATTCAAAATTTTATAAGTTTCATTGAGTTTAACATATTATAAAGCATTTATGATAAAATATATTTCACTCTATTTTCAAGTTTCTCAAATTATTATGAATTAAAAAGTAATGAATAATCATAATAATACTTATTATTATGATTTATGTGAATTCTTAAAAATAAATGCAATGTTACTTATAAATTTTATTGCACTCTACTATGTTATGATATAATTATATTTATTATTGTAATAAATTATCTCAAGTGAAATATCACGAGTAGTATTTTTGTCTCAACGTTCTTGCTTAAAATATATATCATTTTCCATATGCTCTCTTGTAATAACATAATTTTAATAACAATTCTTACTATTGTCATTTAAAATTTTGATTATAATCATCTTGTTAACGTCAAAATACTTAGCGCATAATAGAAAAAATAAGGTATGTCATTGTGCTTTAAGAATTCAGGGTTCAAGGTTCATGGTTTAGTTTTGGTGTTTATTTTACGGGTATGTTTTTTTTTTTAACAGGAT